AGACACTCTTGGAGGGTAAGTGCTTGGGCAGCACTGCCCTGGGGACTTGGTGTCCATGGGCTGTTCAGCTGAGGCTTAGGGACTAGAACCCCAAAATCCTGTCCTGCTGTTTGCACGTGTCCAGACTGTGGCTACCCGGGTCAGTGAGGGTGTCTGAATCAGACCGCACAGAAGCTTAAGTCAAGAGGACAAAAGCAGCCCTATTTCTGGACGTTCAAGACCAAGGTATTCAAAGGCTGCAAGAAGTAGCCAGCAGACTGTGGAACCCCAGAATTTTTGCTTCAGAAAGGTCAGGAAAGGCCCACTCAAGACCTGATGTTGCTATCTCAAGAAAGGGAATGGGAAGGCAGGTGTGGCCCTCTTCCTTTAGAGCCAGTTCCTTCTAGACGCGGGGACCACAGGCCGGAGAGGAGACCCGTCTCCTGCCAGTGGAAGGGCAGGGCGGCAGGCCATTTGATAACACAAGCACCTTCTCCGAATTGCCTTTCCCCTTAGCTCTAGGTGCCCAGACTCTGTACATGAACTTCCTGGGCATTTCCTATAAACCTCTTACCTTGCCTCTAGCAGTCTCAGATATGGCCCTGTGCGCACGTGCTTTGGCTTAGTGTTTCCCGAAGGCCTGTTTTCTGTTGTTCCTTGTCTGCGCTCGGACGGCTCTTCACCTGGGAGAGAGCGGAAGCTGTCCTCGGTGGCGATGGGGCCCCGCGGCTGTGTGACCTGGGCTAGTGTCTTCACGTCTCTCTCTGCCTCAGCCTTCTCATCGGTACAGTGAAGAAAATAGTAGCGTCTACCTCATGGTTGTTTTGGGGTGTAAATAAGTTAATCTACGTGACGCGGTGAGAACAGTGCCTGACACAGAGCCAGTAGGAGAAACGAAAAGTACAGCTAATCTTCTTTCTCTTAAAGGCACATCCAGGAATCCATGTTTAATCACTTAAAAAGCATTGTTTTTCGTAGAAAAATCTCGCCTGCCAGCTTCCTTCATGCGTCTGCAGTTGGGTTTAATAGGCAGCTGGAGGCTGGGATGGTGAGCCTCTGACCAGGAGTCGGGAGCTAGCTCCCCCGTGTCCCTTAGCCAACAGGAGATCGTTCGGTTTATCTTCCCCCAAGTGACCTGGCTGGGTGTTCTTTTCTTGTGGGCCCCACTGTAGGTTTCCGGAAGAAGTTGACTGCCCGAAAGGAAACTGCAAAACATGAAAGTCGCTTTGAGGTGACCGATAAGCCCCGTGGCCCCTTGCTTCTCCCGCAGTGGATCTGAGCTTTAAGAACTCTAACTTCAGGTAATAAATCACCTCCCCAACCCCCCACCTGCTGTCATTGGCAGTTCCCATGGGAGTTCTTTTTAGGAAGGGTGCTTTCTCCCGGGAGCCCTGGAACTTGGAATAGTCCACCTCAGGCTGTCATCTGGCTGTTCACAAAGAGACAGTGGGGGCTAGACGTGGCACCCCGCAACTGACCCACAGCCCAGAGGGTCGCTGAGACCCCAAGGGTAGGACTCTACTCCTCCTTGGTCTCCTTCTCCTACTGTCAGTAATAATGAGGATTATCATGGCAGCCACCGTTGATCTGATTAAACGATTATAACCTGCTTCTCAAGGAATACATTGGAATAACCGGGGAATTCTGAAGATGAAAAGTAGTAAGAGGGAGAAGATTTTGTTCTACCCAACATTAAAATATAAAGCCACAATAGCATAGGACTGGACTGGAAGTAACTAGGTCAAAGGAACGGAATAGGACAATAAACCAATAAAGGTGGCCTTTCAAATGATGGGTAACAGAAGGTCTGGTAAATGGTGTTGGCACAGTTATCTATCCATTGGACGGAAATAAGTTTCCAACTGTAAGTAGTGTATCAAAAATAATTTCCAAATGGATAAAGAGCTAAATAAAGTTACAAAAATATCAATAAAGAGAGCATTTGTATTTTGGGGCTGAGAAAAGGCTTTTTTTTTTTTTTTTTTTTAATGTCACTTTTAACTGTGCCTACAAATACTGTAAGCAAAGTTAGAAGGCCAAAAGGGGGCTGATATTTATGACATCTATGACATGCAAGAATGGATATTCCTAACGTACAAACTTATTCATTCAACATCTATTGAGTTTTTTTTTTTTATTTTTTTTTTAATTTTATTGTTTATTTTTGAGAGAGAGAGAAAGAGAGCTCAGTTGGGGGTGGGACAGAGAGAGATAGAGGGAGACACAGAATCGGAAGCAGGCTCCAGGCTCCGAGCTGTCAGCACGGAGCCTGACTCAGGGCTCGAACCCACCAACCATGAGATCATGACCTGAGCTGAAGTCGAACGCTTAACCGACTGAGCCACCCAGGCGCCCCTATTTATTGAGTTTTATGCTAGAGAGTGTCCTAGGCTACTAGGGTGTAAGCTGTGAACTAAACCAAATCATTGCCTTCTGACGCTTCTAGTCTAACGGAAAGGAAGCTAGTAAATAGATTATTGGTAAGGATTGTGGGTAAAGATGAAGCAGGGAGGGGCGGTTAGAGGGGATTGGTGCTGCTGTGGACATTCAGGGAAGCTTCGCTGCCAAAGTGACATTTGAGCAGAAATAGAAAAGAGAATGGGGGAAAAGTTGGATTTGGATTTTTTAAAAAAGGTTAGCTGATGGGATTTTCTAATGGATCTGGTGCAGGCTGTGAAAGGAAGCATGGAGTTGGGATGATTTCTAGGTTTGGGGCCTGAGCATATTGAGAAGGATGGAAGTACCATTGATGTGAGCATCACGAGGGGGCCTGGCTTGGGGAGGACCAGGGATTTGGTTTGGATACTTGAGTTTGAGGTCTCTGTTGTCTATTCAAAGGGAGACATCCGGGAAACAGTCGTATAACTTTGGAATTCAGGAGATGTCCAGGCTTGGAGGTATATATTTGGGAGTTCTCCTAGCGTGGGTCATATTTAAAGCAATGAAAATACACAGACCTCTTAGGGAGTGGGTATAAACACAGGAAGTGTGATGACATTCGCAGGACCCCAATGTAGGGGTGAGAGAGGAGGAGGGACCAACAAAAGACCCCATCAGGGGACAGGTGCCCCAGTGAAGTGGAAGGGGACAATGAGAAGGTGGCCTCCCCAAAGCCAAGAGCCAATGAGGAGGGGCAGATCAGCTCCAGCAGGTGTTGGGATGGGGCACTTAAGGAATGTAGGACCAGCCACTGGATTTAGCAACGAGGAGGTCACTGGGGAACCTAACGGGGGCTGTCTTATTGGAATGATGGGTACAAAAGCCCAATTTGAGTTGGTTTATAGCAAGTAAAAGGAAAGGAATTGGAAACTGAGAAATGAGGTAGGGACTAGAAGGGCGTAGAGTTCAACAAAGCGTTTGTTTTTTTCCTCAAGAGGAGAGTTGCTGTGTGTTTTTATCCAAAGGAGAGTGATCCAGTAGAGGGGGGAAAGTGGATGGTGCAGGGTCGGAGGCAGGGGGAGACTTCGGGAGTGCTGGTCTTCAGTAGTGAGAGAGGATGGAGTCCCCACCCCTCGGGGGCAGAGGGTCCTAAACAGCAGCTTGTAGGTGGGCCGTAGATGTGCTCACTTTTCACAGTGAAGTAGAGCAGAAAGTATCATCTGAGAGTACGGATGGGGACAAAAGAGCAGGTGTGATGTTCCCAGGAGTGGAGCAGGGGATTCCAGGGCCACCGGCAGCACTGGCGTCAGTGGTGAGAGGTCGTGGATTGAAAGTGAGGGCAGCTAGTTCATTGTGTGCTTTCCTTCCAGCAGGTTCAGGTGTCCAGGTGAACATGAGTTAGGAGGCCCGTCCGTACTGAAGAAAATACGGTAGAAAAGCAGGACATGAGTGGGCACAAAGGAAACCAGAGAAATGCCTATAAACATAGGGACACCATCCGTAATCATTTAAAAATGCAAGTAAAAACCAATGGGGATTTGTTCTTTTTCTTCAGATTGACAGGCACTCTTGTTGGGGATATAAATTACTGGAGCTCTGCTGAAGCACGGTGTTCCAGAATGTACCCAGACATACTATGTGCGGTCCCTTCTGTCATGCTTTTAGACATTTGTCCTAAGAGATCATAGCTCAGCTGCCTGGGGATAGAGCACAAAGATGTTCCCTCCAGCATTGGCCCCGCAAGTGAAAAGCTGGCCCACTCCTAACCCTGGTGCACTAATCTGTGGCCGTGACCGTCGTCTTGGAAACGGCCTCACAGTCTCCCCTCTTGCTTTGCAGATGAAGCAACTTGAGCCCAGGGAGAGGGAGTGAGCGCCCGGGTCACGTGGTGTGGAGCTCGGCCCGTCTGCGGGCAGTGCGCGGCCCTCTCAACTCGGCTTGGACTTGGAGTCCCTCGCAAGGTACTTGTCAGCCTCTCTTCTGGGCCGGCTGACTCCACGCTTTTGAAATGTGAATTCTCAAGGCGTTTTGCAAAGTTTTCTACAAGGTCTCTATGTCCTCATGCAGCTTTTCCTTGCAGGGGATGTGGGGTACCACGGACAGCCGGGAAAGACGGGACAGATTTTTGCCTGGCCCGGTGATAGGGAGGGACCATATTTTTCTGGCTCCCAAGAGAGACTTCAAGTCTGAGAAAGGGTATTTTCTGCTTTCCCCTCACTTTTTCAAAAGTTGTAACAAAAATAAAAAGATAACTAGGGAATCCTGTTTGCTTTATGGATTGGAAGAAAATCGAACCGTCAGGGAATAGCAGGTCCCCTCCGAGGTAGGAGCACTGGGCGACAATTCCTAGCGTGTTGGGTTCTGCCGTAGCACGGGAGAAGCCACCCGGTTTCTCTGAGCTTTGTGTCTTCACCAGAACAGTGAGCAGGTGAACCTAAATGCTCGGCCATAACTCGTGAAGTCTGAACGACGCTCTTTCCTTTCTGCCACGTCCCTGTTCCAGCTGGCTGGGTGGCAGCGGTGTTAGTGCAATACACAAGTACCCGGCCCTCCACCAGACCACCCTGGCCCACCACCGCGTGAGAAGAGCACGTGGCAACAAACGCGCCTTTGTGCCTCCTTGTGCTAGGTCCCGACCTCCAATGGCCGACCAGAGAATGGACATTTCTTCAACAATCAGTGACTTCATGTCCCCGGGCACCACCGACCTCCTCTCCAGCCCCCTGGGCCCCGGCGGCACGGATTGCAACCGCAAGCGGAAAGGCAGCTCCACCGACTACCAGTAAGCCCTTCAGGGTTCATGTGCCTCTGGCCAAACCTGGTGTCCGTTCCCGGAACATCGAGGGGCCATCTACCATTCCTCCCAGAAGAAGGGGTCCTCTTGGTGCAAAGGGATGGAAATGAAAGAGCCAAGTCTAGGTGGCCGCACGATTGGCTTTTTTT